AGGTGCTCAAGCTGATATCAAAGCAAAAACTTCTAGCAAGATTGATGAGAGAGTTCAGCCATTGCTCAACTTCCTTTGGACAAGCAATAAGACTGAGTCTTCCATAAGAGGACCTCCCTCAACAGGTAGAACTACAGGAGAAGGTCCGATAAGAAATAATGGTAGAACTACAGCTTCATATCATTCTCTACGGAACATCATCCAATATAATCTAAGCTTATCCCCAGCGATGAAGAATGTAATCAATACCACTGTGACTCCTCATCATTTTAGAACAGAAACAAGAGATCATAATATGGAAGTGAAGCAAGGGCTGACTTCAAATGTTTTGGCAGAAGGAAATGTTTCAGAAGTCAATGTTCTTTCTCCAAAAAACACAAAACCAGCATATGCATCTAGTCCATTTAGCCCTCCTAAAGATGCACCAATGATGAGGCAAGCTGGCCCAGAAACATTTTTGCAGGCTCACTTAAGGAAGTCTAGTGGAGATCAAGGACAAACATTAAGAAATGAATCGTTGAAGGCTATCATTAAAAGAGAGGAGGTGAAAATCTCACTACAACAAACTCCATCAGCCATGTTCTCTCAAGACCTTCTAGCATCCAACCAGACGATTCAAGAGCAGCTGCTGAAGGACATCAACAGCTCAAAAGAAATGAATGGGTTTAATGATGAACAAAGTGAGATCCCTCACTCAAGAGATGAAACAGCAGCATTCCAAGGGAAGTGGGAAGAAGTGGGAATCCCACACAGCAAAGATTTAGGGGCCCAGTTTCACGTGAAGGTCTCCAGAACCTCCTTAGGTGTCAACCAACCAGCAGGAGAAAACTTCTCAAGACCTATGAAAGAAAAATCTGAGTATGATGAATATAGCAATACAGAGGAGACCAAGGAGGATTTTGATATCTATGAAGATGAACAGGATCCTCGTATGTTCACTGGGAAAATCCGTGAATATTACATTGCTGCGGTTGAGGTGACATGGGATTATGGTGGCTCCATTCCCTCCCCGTATCTGAGAGACAAGTAAGTTTTTTTTCTATCCCTTTGGCTAAATTGCTGAGGTAATTCAGTGCGCTCTGTGGCTAAATGGGATTTCAATCCTGTTTTTATTTGTAATTTAAAGTCAATATTAATATTATTCAAATAACAGAGTTGGAAGGGACCTTGGGGGTCCTCTAGTTCAGTGGTCTCCAANCGCCATCACTAGGCACCAGAAAAGGGTTTCAATCTAGGGTTATTGATTCTTCTTAGACTGCATCCAATTTGGAGGGGCGAGATCTCCGAAGAGCCATCAACCGCAGAGGTTGCTAGACAATCGGGATGTATGACTCCCCGTAGGAGGTTTGGGAGACGCTGCGTGTTGAGAAACGGTCCAACGTAGAAGAATGCAGCAGAAGACATACAGCCTTCGATGTCGGTGTTTGTCATTGTCTCCAGCCTGGATTCTCTCCTGTTGCTAGTAATTCTGCTTTATTAAACGCACCCCTAGCACCACCCCTGACATATTAGGCTGTGCCTCACAGTATTATCAAGGAGAGTTCCCCCCCTTACACATCTTTTTCTCCCTCCTGGTTTAATTCTTCTCTGCTTCCGTTATAGGTCTGCCTCTCTAATACTTTCCTCGTGATTTCCTCCCTCTGCCAGAAAAAACTTCACTTTTCCAGCTTGCTTTCTTTCAAACACCTCTCTCTCTCCCGCCCTCTCTCTCCCTCTCCTTCTCTCCCTCCCCTCTTTTTTCTCCCCCTCTCCCCTTCTCCCGCCTTCTCTCTTTCTCTCCCTCCTTCTCTCTTTCTCTCCCTCTCTCCTTCTCCCTCCGTCCCTCTTCTCCCTCTCTCCTTCTCCCTCCCTCCCCCTCTATTTCTCCCTCCCTCCTTTTCTCCCTCCCCTCTTCCTCTCCCCCTCTTTTTCCTTCTCTCTCGCCATCTCTCTCTCTCCTCCCTCCTTCTCTCGTTCTCCCTCCTTCTCTCCCTCTCTCCTTCTCCTTCCGTCCCTCTTCCCCCTCTCTCCTTCTCCCTCCCTCCCCCTCTATTTCTCCCTCCCCTCCTTCCCTCCCATCTTCCTCTACCCCCTCTTTTTCCTTCTCTCTCACCGTCTCTCTCCTCTCTCGTTCTCCCTTCTTCTCTCCCTCTTTCCTTCTCCCTCCCACACTCTTTCCCCCCTCTCTTTCTCTCCCCCTCCCTTCCTCCCCCTCTCTATTTCTCTTTCCCTCCGTCTCCCTCCCTCTCCTTCTCTCCCCTCTCCCTCCCTCACCCCCGCTTCCTCCTTCTCTCCCTCCTTTTCTCCCACTCTCCTTCTCCCTCCTTCTCTCTCTCTCTCTCTCTCTCTCTCTCACACACACACACACACACACACACACACACACACATTTGTAACTCAGGGTGGAAATGAAGGGACTTTGATGCCTGCGAGAAAGCAACCAAGCTCCGAGAGCATTGAAGTCTCCACAATTTAACCCTGAGCTACAAATATTCTCTTCTTTGGATTCATGAAGAGAATGGTCAAATGTATGGTTTCCCATCCGCCCCTGACGGCCTCCCAGAATGCCTCATAATGCTCCCTTACAGTTTCTATCTCAGACTTTTATTTTTAATTTTCCAAGATTGTCGTTGTGTGTGTGTCTCTCCAAGCATTTGGACACATTCTTTGCAAGAGTCTGATAATTCAACACCTCTCTCACCCCACCCCATCCCGAGCAAATTGAAGTCCTAATTCAGCCAGGCGCTCAGTGTCTCTCTTGGCTTAAATCCTCATCTATACTTTGTAAGCCGCCCTGAGTCCCCTCAGGGAAAAGGGCGGCCTATAAATATTAATAAATTCAAATTCAATCTGTGCCTGAATTACATTTTAAGATGGTTTCCCTACCATTTTTCCTCTCCAGTTTGCTGTTTATGTAATGCAGTGTTTCTCAACCTTGTCAACTTGAAGATGTCTGGACTTCAACTCCCAGAATTCTCCAGCCAGCATTCGCTGGCTGGGGAAGTCTGGGAGTTGAAGTCCAGATATCTTCAAGTTGACAAGGTTGAGAAACACTGATGTAATGGCTTTCTTTTTTTTTTCTCAGCGAGCGTTCATCACTCCAACCCACCGCCCGAGCCACCGTACAATAAAATTACCAGCTATTAAAGAACAGACATAAAATAACCACGTTAAATCACAACATACAGGTGCCGGTTTTTTAAAAAAATGTTACGTTTGAAATACTGTGCAATAGTCATCCGAAAACAGACTGGGATAAAAAGAACTGTGAATTTCTCAAAGAGATGGACAGGGTTTGTTTCTTTATTTTAGTTGAACTGGGCTCCCCTTAATTTTTGGGCTACTTTCATGCCCCAAAATTTTGGGCTAGTTTCCTCCTCCATCCAAATTATTATTATTATTTTAAAAAATCAAAATGGACGGATCTAGTGAATATTGCCACCTTCTTCCTTTCCTTGTTGTGCTTTTTCTCTCTTTCTTGAATTTTTATTAAAGTTTATTGTAATATAAAATGAAAACAAAGGTCTGAATGAAGAGGAAGGGGGAAAAAAACATCTCAAGAAAAATTGCTTTTAGGGAGTTAAAACCCAGCCCTCTCCTAGAAGAATGAAATATCCTAGGAAATATTGAAAAGGCAGGATATTATATTTCCCTGGATGTGAAAAGAGAGAAACTTGTTTTAAAGACAAAGTAGTTCCCCGCAGCTTCCTGCCCATCCCGCTTTGTCAATGGGCCATTAAGATGCCCAAGCCAGTCCCTTTACATAATAAAGAGTTCTCCCCTTCAGCTCCAGGGGGGTGGGATTAAGGCATGATAGCATTAGGTCTTTACCCACTCACCACGTGACATCTGAGAACTCAACCAAACTTGGGATTCAAAATACAACCTAGAGAGTTGCCCCTGCGTTGCCCCAGGAGAGTCTGACAACCAATCAGAATACATTTCTTACAGAGGAACAGGAAACAGAGAGGTGGGGCCAAACAGATTATAAAAAGACAGCAAGCCCCTTCCTCACTCTCTCTCCTCTGCTTTCTTCTTCTTCACCCAACATTGAAGCATGTGATGATCCCACTTTTCTGTTCAGGAGCTCAAGCCATGTAGTCCTGTCCACCATTAAACCATCTTTCCAAGCAGCCTCCATGTCTCAAGTGTCTTTTCCCGCACTTGGAACTGAACCCAGAAGGACATTTCTGCCAACAGCTGACAGGAGAAGCCGCTACTATATAAAGAGAGAGCAAAACAGAGGTGGATTCCTATCGGTTCGTACCGGTTCGGCTGAACCGGTTGTGGTTTGCTGGCCCTGGTCAACAAACTGGTTCTCCTGTTGGTGCGACATGGTTTTCCCCCCATTTTTTTAATGTTCTGCACATGCACAAACCTATTTATGGGCAAGTGCACATGCATGGGGAGCGTGCGCTAGGCGCACGGGCGCAAAGTTGCACATGCATCGAACCGGCACTAATGGCGGCAGCAACCCACCCCTGGAGCGAACCCTTCTTCCTTTTACCTGAAGACGTTATCTAGTTGGCTAATGAAATGTCTACAAGGAAACTTGGGGACAGGCTGTATGTCATCACAACGAGGCTGTAAAAACGCGACCGAAGTGCCAGTGTAGAAAATGGTTTTAGTAGATAAATGTTCTACAGGCAGGCTGAAGAGAACNCTTGAGGAGGGTAACGGAGAAAGAGCTGCACTTAAAGGGGAATATTTCTTTTTCTGCCCTTTTTAAACCAAAGAATCAATCCCTGCATTGGATTGCCACCCCCTCCCCCTACCTAATACAAGACCTTTTAGGCATAGACTGATCAGATTTGGGGGCCAATTTGCTGCTCCTGGATGGGATCATATATATGTTACAGTGGCATACACCCCTAATTAATTTTCGGGGTGTCTGTATTCTAAGTGGCCTCTTCCTTAACGAGCAGGTGGCATATTTCAATGTATATTCAGGAGCAGAGGTTATTTTATTATATTGTTATTTAATGTGATTGGGGAAAAACACACAGCATGGGCCTGTTTTTTGAACTATAGTAATAGCATCCTGAATATACATCAGTGCAAAGGCATTGCATTTGTTTCCTCCCTTGTTATCTTCCTGCCACTTCTGGGGATGCCCATCTCTTGTATCCTGAGATATTGCATCTTGCCACCTAAATCTCCTGGGTGGCTGAACAAATCAATAAACTGGCCTGAAATGATTATCGATACTCTTGTGTACATTTGATTTGTTGATGAAATGGTACAGTTACACTAGCAAAGATCTGAGATAAAAATGACAGCATCACTCTGCAATGTTGAAGAAGCTGAGTTTATGTTGAAAGGCTATATGATTGGGACAAATGACTATAATAAGGCGTGGTCATTTAAATAAAACACCTTTTGTGTTTAAATAATAAAAGAAGCCTTGCAAAGAGATTGTATTTCTGTGTGCACTTATCTGGAGGTTAAGTATAGCTGGATTCAATAGGACTAATCCCTGAATAGATCTGCATTAAGATCTTACAGAATGGCTTAAAATTTCCTTCCAGGGCTGAATGAATTTCTTTTTAAATGTATTTTTAGCCTCTTTGCAAAACTACAGGTTTTCTCACAGTAGCTTATGATACAAAGGCAGACCTGTTCAGCACCAAGAGGATTATAAAAGCCCAGACATACAATTTCAAAGTCAGAATGCCTGCCGTTGTAGATTTTTGTCTCTTTCCAACCCGATTCAAAGCATGTCAAATCCAGCAAGCTAAGTTTACCCATTATTTAGCACTTGGATCAAGACTTGCTGTGGTGGTGGGAGTGAACTTTGATATGAGAGAATTTAAGTTCGGAGCACGGCATTGCTTAGGAACCTGCTGACTGCAGTCAGAAAGGCTATTTGCTAAAAAGACTCACAAAGCCAGCCTCTTTGCTGCAGGGGGCTGCAGGAATCTGCAAGGACAGAAGGGTAGTTCAAAATAGCCATCAGTTCACATATATTGTTAGCGGAACACTTTTGCTTCCTGGAGGGAGGTGAAGATTCAGCTGCTTCTGGACAGCTAGGTAGATTTTAAGAAAAAAATA